TCTCTCTCTCTCTCTCTCTCTCTCTCTCTCTCTGCCTCTCTACTACCTTCTGACTCTCCTCCCCATGCCCTGAATAAACTCTATTGTATACTATACCATCCTGTGACTGGTCCCTCAGGGGGAAGGGATGCCTCAGAATGGGCCTGCTGAGACATCCCCTTCCCCCATACCTCTGCACACATCCACAGGACATTCTCTTTATCTCTTTATCTTTTTATAAACACAATACCTATATATTCCTGAAAACTCCTGACTCCTTGGTAAATCGTTACTCTGATCTTCAGTGTGCTTAATTTTCATTCTTACTGTACTGTTGTTCTTAATGTTTTGAAGCCCACTGGTGCAAAGTTGCTTATATTTTGTGTTCTTTGCCAAATTGTGCTCAATCTACATTTTTTTTGTTCTAGCAAATCTATGTGAAGAAGGCTAGCTCTCTGACCCAAAGATTCACTAGGCAGACATGTTCTTGTAACCGTTGGCTTTTCCACCCACAGCCAAGTTCCCAAGTAACAATTCAGAGGTTTAGTATTTATTAACAATACTTATGGCTTTTTCTTGGGCATTAACTTGTAACTTATTTAACCCACGTAAACTATTCTATGTCTGCCATGTGACTTCTCCCCAGTTTCACACATTCAACTTCCTCCAAGTACTGGTGGTGTAGACCTCCTCAAAAAGGGAGACCCTCTCTCAAGTCTCAGAAAGTCGCGACCACCCAGTAATCTACTCGAGACACCATATACCGGAGCAATTGCGAGGTTATTTATTAGGGCGTGACAACTAGCTGCCGGTCAATTCGCATGCCCACGCAGGAGCTGAATTGACCCCGACTGCCAGTTTGGAACGGGTTTTAAAGGGAAAAACCACAAACCAAGGAAATGAGGAGGGGGTGAGGGGGTTGCTAGGGTGGTATAACATAAAAATAGTGGAACATTCCAAAGGAACCCAACCTACATGAGTCAGGATCAGGTGAAAACTCTCTGTACGCTTATCTTTCTCAAGAATGTAGTCCTACCCTGTCACTTCGGCCTTGCCCTGTCACTTCGGCCTTGCCCTGTCACTATGTTTCTCAGCTTGGTTTCTCTTGACTAAATTGCATTCCAGACCGTTCCTGTAATTAGTCTGTCCACATTCTTGCTTCATGCCTCCATGTCTTCGCAAAGAAAGCCTAAAGAATATTTTATGTCTAAAAAAGGATTCTATATACCCAGTATCTATAATTTTCACTCTACATTCCTCACTTCTCCTATTGATAGTTTTTAATCTTAAAAACTTAAGCCCACTTCTCTAAATGATAGTTTTTAATCTTAATCTTGCATTTCAATATCTTCATAGCTTCCGTTTCCCTGTCCGAGGGTTTGATACTGATGTCGTAGCAGTAAAATCTGAACAGCACTTACCCTTTCTCTTATGAATGCAACTAATCTATTTAAAATACAGGGTCCTATGGTTAAAAGTAAAAGCAGAATCACAAGAGGGCCTGCAAGGGAGGATATCAGAGTAGTCATCCAAGGGGATCTATTAAACCAACTCTCAAACCAATTCTGTTGTGCTTCTCTGTCCTTCTGTCTCTGATCTAGTCTCTCTCTGAGTTTACTCATAGAGTCTTTAATCACACCTGAATGGTCTACATAAAAACAGCATTCTTCTTTCAAAGCAGCACACAGTCCCCCTTCTCTAAGAAACAGCAAGTCTAATCCTCTTCTATTCTGTAAAACAACCTCAGAGAGGGAAGTCAATGATTCCTCTAACTTTGATACTGACTGTTCTAGGGCCCTCAGATCTACATCAATAGCTGCTCTCAGTTCATGAAAATAGTGTGGGGTCTGAACTAATGCAGCAGTTCCTGTGCCCACACCTGCAGCCACTCCTAGCCCCAATATGACAGCTAGGGTTAAGGAAATGGGCTCTCTACGGAAGCGTCTAGGGTATCCAAACTCGTGGTCAAGAGTATCTGCAGGGTGATAATAGACTCGAGGAACTAGCTGAACAAGTATACAATAGTCTTTGGTCTCATCAAAAACAGAGGTGGAGATGCATGGAGTTAATCCAGAACTACAAGCCCACCATTTATCAATTTCAGGCACTAAAAATCTGTTGACAGAGGTCTTTGGACTCTTAAGAGTCTCATTGCATAGATGTGTATGAGCAGCGGGAGGGTTTCCCAAGCAAACCCCTTGACCTGAAACTTCAGTAAGGGTAAGTCTATTTTTACTATTCCATACACAGGCATCATGACTAGTGGTGTTATTAAAGGTCCCAGTTGTTGCGATGCCTTCATAATAAGGAGGCCCTGAAGAGAGGCAAAGCCAGCAGGACTTAGTCATATTGGGTTGGGACCCATTTAGTATGGTAAAAGCACCTTGGATCAGACTTAACAGCCTCTGTCCAGTGCTTGGGAGAGAAGGAGTAGAGGTCAAAGGAGTACCCAGAGGGTACTCAGTATGGTGTTTGAGTTCTGAAGGTCTTAAAGGGGTCACAGGGGCAACCGCAAGGGGTTTCTGTTCTGGTAACACTCTGTTAGGGCCTATAGGCTGAGCAGGTGGACTCTCTATCTTCAACTGAATGGTGAAAGCAGCACCCAAGTCGAGCTTCATCATTCTATCTGGAAAATACCATCTAAGGCCCCATGTTCTCCCTTTTAACCACTGTACTGTATCCCCGGTCCGTCCCTGGACAGTAAAAGTTATATTTAAGGGTATGCAGGTGGACCTTGAATTGCACAGGTTCTCTGTAGTCCACTTAAAACATTCTGTTGGAGAGACATAGTTTTTACGTACTACAATCCAGTCCCATGAGGAGCTGGGGTTCCAGTAAGCATCTCCTGTTGTTTCGCAGCCCCAAGCAGAACAATATAAGTTCCCTATGTCTCCACAACGGTGGGCTGTTGTTCGATCCCGACCATCCCTGGGACAGACATAAAAATCTAATTTCCCTAGCTCACATCTGCGTTCCGGGTCTCCGCACCCAAATTTGCCTCCTGGGCAAATTCTCCGCCCTGCATCCAGGGGCAACTTCTGAGGATCTGAGGTAGGGATATCCCAGGTGTCTAATCCAGCTGCTAATTGGCAGAAATCGGGAGTGAGAGTGGGCCACCAGGTGTACGGTGGGGCTACCCTAGAGGCAGACCACACTACCTCTCCAGTCATTGAGGTGACCTGCCAAGTCAGTTTTTGGGGAGTGTGTGGATTATTCCCCATCATCTGTGGGCCTACGGCGTAGGCGCAACTTAAGAGGATTACCAGTCCGCTCCAAAGTCCATTCATCTTGATGAGAGTTCGGAGGTGCTCTTTTCACGTGCGAGGCGTGGATCCACGCAGCGATGCCGTCTACCTTCACTGCTGTGGGGGTTGTCAGCAGGACCAAGTACGGGCCTTTCCACCGTGGCTCAAGGTTGCCCGTCCGATGTCTCCTTACTAGGACAGTGTCTCCGACCTCGAACTGGTGTGGTACTGGATCTTCTTTAGGAGCATAGGAGTTCTTTATGGTTCCCCAGATTTCCTTTTTCACAGTCTCTAAGGCTTTCAGTCGGGCTAGAATAGGAAAAGGGGGAATATAACCATCATCAGGGCGAGTTGTACTCTCAAGGGTCTGATAAATGGGAGGTGGAGAACCGTATAAAATCTCAAAGGGAGTAAGTCCCAGGACTCCGGGCGTGTTCCTGACTCGGAACAGGGCAAGTGGGAGCAAGGCTGTCCAATCACCCCCGCCGGTCTCTATAGTCAATTTAGTTAAGGTCTCCTTTAGGGTTCTATTCATCCTCTCTACCTGTCCTGAACTCTGGGGTCTATATGAACAATGTAATTTCCAATCGAACCCCAATAGTTTGGCCAGTCCCTGACTTACTTGCGCGATGAAAGCAGGCCCATTGTCTGAGCCAATCACCCTTGGTACCCCAAACCTGGGTAGGATTTCTTCCAATATCTTCTTAGCCACCACAGTAGCCGTCTCCTTCTTGGTTGGGAATGCCTCGACCCATCCGGAAAAAGTATCTATAAATACTAAGAGATATTTGTTACCATACCTGGTAGGTTTTACTTCAGTGAAATCGACCTCCCAGTAAGAACCAGGTCGATATCCTCGAAGTCTAGTTCCTTTTACCTCCTGATGGTGGCTGGCATTGGTGAAAGCACAAGCCTTGCACTCTCGCACTAGCTTGTGTGCTAGTTTCTTCAACCCTGGAATCTTATACTGAGACCGGGCCACTATTTCCATCATCTTTTCAGGCCCCAAGTGGGTCCACTGATGGATCCCAGATAGGTACTGTAGGCTTTCTTCTTCAGACAGGACCGGCTTGGTCCCTGGTTCCTCAGTGGGATTGGGAGTCTTTGATTGGGTTCTGATGGTCAAAATCATGGGTCCCTGGGCAGCTTTTTTTGCTTCCAGGTCCGCCATTTGGTTTCCTTTTGCAATATAGTCTGTCCCTTTTTGGTGGCCAGAACAATGAACTATTGCTACCTTCTTTGGAAGGTGAATTGCCTCCAAGAGGCTCAAAATCTCTTCTTTGTTTCTAATTTCTTTTCCTGCTGAAGTTAATAGCCCTCTCCGTCGATAGATGGCGCCATGTACATGAGCGGTAGCAAATGCATACCTGCTATCAGTGAAAATATTCACCCCTTGTCCTTCTGCCATCTTCAAGGCCTGGGTCAAGGCTACCAGTTCAGCTTTTTGTGCTGAAGTCCCTTCAGGTAGGGCCGAGGCCCACACAGTCCTTTTCCCATCCACCACCGCCGCTCCCGCCCTTCGTTTACCCTCAATCACGAAGCTGCTCCCATCAGTAAACCAGGTCTTCACCCCTGGCCAGGGCTTGTCAGTCAGGTCTGGTCTGTTGGACGTTTCTTCAGCCAGTATTTCTTCACACTGGTGAATCACAGAGCTGTCAGCCTCGGGCAGCAGGGTGGCAGGGTTCAGAACAGCCGGCGGGGCAAAGGTTATACGTTCGGTGAGAAGGAGGCTCTGGTAGTGAGTCATTCTGGCATTAGTCATCCAGCGATCGGGAGGCTGTCTGACAATGCTTTCCAGAGCATGAGGGGCCACTATTGATAATTTCTGTCCCAAAGTCAGTTTATCAGCATCTTTCACTAGTAGAGCTGTAGCTGCTATGGCCCGCAGACAGACAGGCCATCCACTTGCTACCGGGTCTAGCTTCTTTGAGAGATACGCCACTGGACGTTTCCATGGACCCAAGGTTTGAGTCAAAACTCCTCTAGCCACCCCCTTCCTCTCATCAACATAGAGAGTGAAAGGCTTAGTTAGATCTGGTAAAGCCAAAGCAGGGGCTTCTAATAAAGCCTTTTTCAAAGCCTCAAAGGCTTTCTGATGTTCGATTGTCCAGGTAAACTCCCCTTGCTCCTTAGTCAGGGGGTATAAAGGTGCCGCCAAGGTGGCGAACCCTGGGATCCACAGCCTACAGAACCCGGCGGTCCCAAGAAACTCTCTTACCTGACGAGGGGTAGTTGGGGTTGGGATCTGCATAACTGTCTGCTTTCTGGCCTCAGTCAGCCAGCGTTGTCCATCTCTCAAGGTGTAACCCAAATAAGTCACTTCAGTCTTACATAGCTGGGCCTTCTTCATAGATGCCCGATACCCCAACTTACCCAACTCAGCCAGGAGACGTTCTGTTCCTTTCTCACAATCTTGGGGGTCCTTAGCAGCCAATAAAAGGTCATCTACGTATTGTAACAGAGTCACTTGAGGATTATTAGCCCTGAAAGGGGCCAAGTCCCGGTGTAGTGCCTCATCAAATAAAGTGGGAGAGTTCTTGAATCCCTGGGGAAGTCTCGTCCAGGTCAGCTGTCCTGCTTTACCGTTCTCTGGGTCTCTCCACTCAAAGGCAAACAGGGGCTGACTCTGGGAATGAAGTCTCAAACAAAAGAAAGCATCTTTAAGGTCCAGAACTGAATACCAAGTTCTGTCCGGGGGCAGAGAGCTGAGCAAATTGTAGGGGTTGGGTACCGTAGGGTGGATATCTAGTACCCGTTTGTTAACTTCTCGGAGATCTTGAACCGGCCGGTAATCTCCAGTGCCTGGTTTCTTTACTGGCAACAGAGGTGTATTCCAGGGAGATTTGCAGGGAACTAAAATCCCCTGTTGTAATAGTCTTTCAATGTGGGGACGTATCCCCATTCTGGCTTCCTTGCTCATGGGGTATTGCCTGACCCCAATTGGAGAAGCACCAGCTTTGAGCTCAATGACTATCGGGGGTACATTCTTGGCCATCCCCATTCCCCCAGTCTCTGCCCAGGCCTCAGTAAACAGGGACCAGGGTCCCATTTCCAATTCTGATGAAGGATGTCCCTGAGTGTCAGACTGAAACAGTCTATATTCATCTTCTGTTTTCAGGGAGAGTGTTAACACTGGGGATTTGATAGTGTCCCATGTCACCTTTGGCCCCTGGGGGGTGAAACTTATTTGTGCCTTTAACTTAGTTAAAAGGTCCCTACCCAACAAAGGGGTAGGACACTCAGGTATCACTAGGAAGGAGTGAGACACCTGTCCTTTTCCCAGGTCTACTGTTCTCGTGGTGGTCCACGAATATGAGTTCTGTCCAGTGGCTCCAATAACTATGGTTTGCTTACTTCTCAACTTCCCCAGGGGTTTCTTGAGCACTGAGAATTCTGCTCCCGTGTCGACAAGAAAGTCCATGGGGGTCCCCTCCACTTTCAGGGTTACCCTAGGCTCGGGGAGGGGGGCCAAGCCCTGACCCCCCTAGTCTTCATTGCTACCTAGGGTCAGAGCCTTAAGTCCCTTCTTGGCGGGACACTCTCTGGCCCAATGTCCTCTCTCCTTGCAATAGGCACATTGGTCTCTGTCCAGTGCTTGGCTGGCTCTTCTGGGTCTCCTTGGCTCCTGCCTCCGATACTCGCCCAAGTTCCCTGTCTGCCTAACTCCTCTTCCCTGTCTTCTTCCCTCATCTATAACTGCGGCCAAAATCTTAGTCAAATTCTTTTCCTGCCTTCTCTGTCTCTCATCTTTCTCCTTACTCCTTTCTCTTTTCTCTCTTTCTGCTTTTTCTTCCTGAGTTTCCCTCTTATGATAGATCTTCTCTGCTTCCTTAACCACATCTCTGATTGTGAGGTCTTGTAATCCCTCTAGACGCTGTAACTTCTTTCTAATATCTGCAGCAGCCTGCCCAATAAAAGCCATAATTACAGACATCCTCTGTCCCTCCGAGGTGGGGTCAAAAGGAGTATATCTGCGATATGCCTCCATGAGGCGCTCCAAGAAAACAGAGGGGGCTTCTTCTGGCTCCTGCATAACCTCTCTTACCTTAGCCAAATTGGTGGGGCGTCTCGCCGCCCCTCTGAGACCTGACACCAGAGCCCGGCGGTAGATGGACAGCCTTTCCCTACCTGCAGCTGTGTTGTGGTCCCATTGGGGCCGAGTGAGGGGAACAGCCTCATCAATCTCTGCTGGAGTTAGATTCTGCAAAAGTTGTCCCGCAGCGTTCTGGATGTTTCTCCAGGCCTCCAGAAGAACTCTCTCTTTCTCTTCAGCTGTGAAGAGAGTCTGGAGGAGCTGATTGCAATCATCCCAGGTGGGCTGGTGTGAGTACATTATAGACTCCACCAGTCCAATCAGGGATGTAGGATTCTCTGAAAAAGGGGGATAATTAGCTTTCCAGTTAAACAGATCAGATGAAGAGAAGGGCCAGTATTGTAGGAACTGGACTGCATTCGGCTCGGTAGGTGCCGGACCTATAGCTCGGAGAGGTAGAGAAACAGTGGAGTCGGGTCCTTCCGGACTCAACCCTCTCCGGCTCCGAGTGCCAGTTGCCGGCCCCCCGGCCCCGGCTGCTCCCTGTGGTTCTGGACTCGGTGCCGAGGCCGGGGGAGCCTGTGGTGGTTGGTGATAAGGGGGGGGCAGTGGCGGACTCGGCCACTCAGGTGGCTCCTCTATCTCGGGATAGATCTTAGGTGGAGTTTTAGTTTCCGAGTCCGGTTTTGGTTTGGGTTTGGGCGTTTTAGGCCCGGAACTGCAGAGAGCCAGGGCTCGGGAGCCTGGCTGTCTCTTAACCCATGGTCTCACCCACGGAGGGGGATTCTGGATCAGGTTCTGCCAAACCACGATGTATGGCTGTTGATCGGGATGTGACCCTGGTCCTTCCTGAAAAATAGTAGCTTTTACTGCAGAAATAGTAGTCTCGTCAAAAGTCCCCTCAGGTGGCCATCCCACATCAAGTTTTGGCCACTCTGAGGCACAGAAAGTCTGCCAACGTCCCTTCCTGATGTTAACCGATAACTCATTGCCTCTGTCCTTCACCTCTGTCCAGTGGTCTAAAGTCAGGCTTAAGGGAGTCACTACAGTCTGTCCCATAACTGTCAACAAGAAACACAAAACACAGACAAAACAACTACACTAACCGTCTCAACCAAGAAGGCCAACACCAATACAGAAAAACAGATGGCCAGGAGGTCTCTCAAACCTCCTCCAGCAGGCCACCGTGTCCTCTCCGGCCTCCAGACGGGCACCCACCAGGCGTCCCTGGGGTCCCTCCTCACCTGGGACGTCTCCCAGGTTGTGGCAGTGGTAACCCTCCTAGCACGTCTGCTGGTCACCCATTCGCCTCCTGCCGAGACAAAAGGTTTGCTGTCTCTTACGAGACAGAAACAGCTGCCAAGCCAAACCACAGAAGTGCACTTTCCAAAATTCCAAACGAGACGGATCGACACACAAAACGCACAAACAAAACCGCGGTGCCCTTACCTCCCAGTGGGGGTCTCAGAGATCAGGGTGGTCGCAAATCCCGGACGAGCCCCCAATGTAGACCTCCTCAAAAAGGGAGACCCTCTCTCAAGTCTCAGAAAGTCGCGACCACCCAGTAATCTACTCGAGACACCATATACCGGAGCAATTGCGAGGTTATTTATTAGGGCGTGACAACTAGCTGCCGGTCAATTCGCATGCCCACGCAGGAGCTGAATTGACCCCGACTGCCAGTTTGGAACGGGTTTTAAAGGGAAAAACCACAAACCAAGGAAATGAGGAGGGGGTGAGGGGGTTGCTAGGGTGGTATAACATAAAAATAGTGGAACATTCCAAAGGAACCCAACCTACATGAGTTAGGATCAGGTGAAAACTCTCTGTACGCTTATCTTTCTCAAGAATGTAGTCCTACCCTGTCACTTCGGCCTTGCCCTGTCACTTCGGCCTTGCCCTGTCACTATGTTTCTCAGCTTGGTTTCTCTTGACTAAATTGCATTCCAGACCGTTCCTGTAATTAGTCTGTCCACATTCTTGCTTCATGCCTCCATGTCTTCGCAAAGAAAGCCTAAAGAATATTTTATGTCTAAAAAAGGATTCTATATACCCAGTATCTATAATTTTCACTCTACAGTGGAGAATCTTCCTGAACCTGACTATCACAGAGAGTCCAATCTCTCTACCAGAACTCCCATTTTCTACTTCTTTCCTTTTGCTAATAGGCCATTATCTCTTGATTGACAGGTGATGCTTCCACACAGTACACAGAGATTATCCCTATATGTGCTGAACTCTTAATATCCCACTGGAGATTTCAATATAGAAAAAATGATTCATCGATACTTTCAAAACATAGCACCTAGGGGTTCTCATTTCAGTCACTGAATTTGAAAATCACTGAAAATGTCTCTGCCTATTATATTTGTAGATTTTGTATGATGGTTAGCAAATCTGTTCACCTATTTCTGTCTCAAAGTTGTAGGTGGAATAATTTTTTATGTGAAGCAGGTCTGGGTATGTCTATTATCCCGTTTCAAAGGAGCCAAATTGTGCCCAAACTGACTATGTTCCCCTAAAACATTTATTCCCTGTCATTAAGACACTGGCTCTTTTGTCTGAGGGATCCTGAGACTCCTATACACCCTTGCCTCTCATCATCTTATCCCACTGGGCAAGTTATCCTGGCTTTGCAGAGTCTTTATAATACATTGCATTGAAATCCACCACAGGAAAGCATGACCTTCGGGATCAAGTCCATCCAGGACCCGATGGAATTAGAGAAGGATAACGTCTAGGAGGACTGGTCCTAGACTCTTCCACTGGGGCCATAGCACATTTGAGCTCTTGCTGCCAATGTAAGTCTGTGTGGTTTCCATTTGTGCCAGCAACAAGTGATGCGTTTATAAAAAGATAAACAGATATAGAATATGTTCTGTGGAGATGTGTGGTGAGGTATAGGGAAAAGGATGCCTCAGCAGGCCCATGCCTAGTCATCTCTACCCCCTGAGGGACCAGCCACACAATGGTATAGTATAGAATAGAGTTTACTCAGGGCATGGGGAGGGGTGTTAAGAGGGTAGAAGAAGCAGAGAGAGGCGGGGGGGGAGAGAGAGAGAGAGAGGGAGAGGGAGAGAGGGAAAGGGAGAGAGGGAGAGGGAGAGGGAGAGGGAGAGGGAGAGGGAGAGGGAGAGAGAGAGAGAAGTAGAGGAGTAGATGCTGGCCATGAGCATGTGGAGATAGGGGGAAGAGAAGAGAAAAGGGATGAGCAGACAGGGAGAAGCAAGAGCCAAGAGAGGATCAAGAGAGAAGGGGGCAAGCAGTCCCATTTACAGTGGGCCAGGCCTACCTAGCTGCTCCCAGGTAACTGTGGGGGTGGAGTTTAGACAGAATGCTAACATTCCCCCATTTTGATTTAATTAAAAAAGAAAAATTAGAAAGAGTTGATGGCGAGAAGAGGGAGAAGAGAGAGAGAAAGGTCAAGGGTCTCTGTCTATTTATATGGATAGTGACCCAGCTTCTCAAAGGTAAATTTGGGAGGTGAGCCAAGTGGATTCTGGGAATGTATGACAGTTGCCTTGGCAATGGTGTTGGGGTCAAGGACACTTCATCAAAGGGGTTCACAAGGCACCTTTTACACTTCAGGCAGTTGTTTTATTTGGGAAGTTTTATAATTATTTGTAAGCAAATAAACTCACCCATTTAACTGTATAGTTTATAAAATCTGAGAAAATGTGTGAGATGTGTGGCCACACCTCCTTCAAGTAGATAATGTTCTCTTTACTCAAGAAAGTTCCTCCACATCTCTTGACATGAACCATTGTGCCAAACCCTGCTTCCTGACATCCTCTTAACTGCTTTATTGGTGTAATGGATTGGAAACTGCATATAATTTGGAACCACTATGTTACGATGGGTGTGCCCTTTGCTTTAAAAACAGACAAAGAACCTGTACAAAGAAAGGGGAATAGGCCACCCCACTGGAAATACCTCACAACCCCCCAAGGACAAGGAATCATAGAACAAAAAACAAAGAAGGGGACACAGGAGGTCCAAGGACTAAGGCCCCAGGACAAATTAACAGATGTCTTATTTACACTTAATCTTTAACTTTAACAAACAAGCCTATCTCCTTCTATAAGCACAGGGGCAACATGCTGCCCTGTATTACCCCTCTACCCTTGGTCTACTGGAAGGATTCCTTTACTAACACCTGGGAGGGACCAGCCCCTCTGCTAATCATGGGATGAGGCTTTGCTTGTATCTTCCCAGAAGGAGCTGAGAAACCTGGCCAATCCATCAAGCCCTATACCACTCAAGACTCAGAACTGATGGAACCTCTGAGGACTGAGTTGCAGAACTTCTCACTGAGTGTTAGGAATTGGTTCTAATGCTGTCTCAATTCAATTCGGCTCCTAAAGGCCAATTTCTCAGATGCTGAGAGTCTCTGCCCCCAGCTGAAATTAATTGGCAATAAAGAATTGCTGTACAGCCGATCACAGGGCAGGTAAACTAAGACGGAACCTTTAGATTTGTGAAGGCAACAAACCTAGGGAGGAGAGAGAGAAATCGCTATGAACCGGAGGGAGACAGATCAGTTTGAGAAGTGTGGAAGAAAAATCCTTTGAAATGTAGGTGGAAAAAGAAAGTAGCCCTATGTGACAGGCTGCCCAGATGGTAACATAGCAGCAAAGTTAAAAGTACATTTTGAAGGTATACTAGAGGAAAAGGTATGTTAGCTGGCCAGAGGATTAGAACTGCCCAGTCATTAAGCTTGTCAAAGCATATGAAAATTAAGCTAAGAAGTGTGTATGTCTTTCATTTGTGAATCTAAAGAGCTCTTGTGTAGGTGGAGCAAGCCAGAGCGGTTTAAACAATTCACCACTATTGATGGTCCCAAAGTGGTAGGTAAGAACCCACCTTTTAAAACTGTTTAGAAATTCTCAGATGGAATATACATACCATGATATGGTTTAGAAGGGGAGAGAATTGGGTTCTCAGTGAGCTGAGCTTGGTTCTTAAGCAACCTGTGAAACTAGAGCAAAAGAAAACTGACACTAGAGAGAGCCTCAACTCAGAGAGGCTGGGAGCTCCTGCTTTGCAAACAGGATGGCTGCTTCCTGACCAGACCCTAGGAGGAAGGCAGTGAGAAACAGACAATAAAAGTTGCCTCCATCCAGCCACTAGATGAATAAAGGATAATTTATACATTTTATTTAATTAATTTTAAGGCTAGAAGGGAGTATAACAGTAATTGTTTAAATGGTTTTCAGCATACATGGAATAAAGAAATCCAGGCCTTTGATCTCAAATGTAAGAAATAAAGGCAGGAAGAGAGAATTGAAGGAATGGAAAAACAAAGGCTTTAAAGAAAATTTTAAAAGCTCTGTGCAAAGGCAAATGCTTGGGATCTTCGAATGTGGTCTACACTGGATTTCTGGGATTGTCTACCCGGGTTTGACAAAAATCAGAGCCTGAAAATAGACTTATACAGTAAGTACAAAGAAATTTAATGAAAGTTAAACACATAGATGACTAAATATGTTGAGGCATTTCATCTTAAATTACAGACCAAAGAGCAGAGGCTGGGTAGAAAAAACTTACCTCAGACAGATAATAGAAACTTATGTTAATTCAGGAAAGTGAAAATTCCCACAGAGATATCTCCCATAGAAGGGAGGATTTAAGCTTACATAGATGCATAAATAACTTGGGCCTTGATCTCATGTAGAACAAGGCAGAGCACAGTGAAGAAGCACTGCCTTAAGAGTTAATATTTGTTTAGATTGCTTTAATTACTTTTAATTGTTTTAATTATCAAAATACACGTGGTTCTGAGTTTGGTGGTTATATTAAAACTCATCTGAGAGAGAGGTCAAGCTATACCTTTAATTATTTCTGGTTACTGGAGCAAAGACATGCTATTTTAGGAGAGAGGCTCTATATTTGTATAGACAAGAAAGGAGAAAAGGCTTTGGGTCCTCCCAGAGCAATATGGATCAGACATGACAAGGGTAGACCCCCTGAAGCTTTTGGCTACAGAAGAGAAAAATTCAAGAAAATCAAACAGAACAGGTAACTTGGTCTGCTGATTCCTCCACATGGAAACAGCCCAG